GCGCACGGGACCTTTTCAGTCTATTCTGAGACTAGATTATGAAACGTTCTGTTGTTGTTTGTTTCTGTCTCGCACCATCAGGATCAGAGAACGCCCTTGCCCTTGCCGAGGCTCTTATCATGTGAGGTTGTTCCTGCTCAACAAATAAATCCCATGAGCAGTGAGCGCCAGACCAGTTCCGAGCGACCCAGGTCACATGTCTGATCATGCCTGCTCCCGGGCGCCGGGGGCTGGTTTCTCTCTTTCATCCACACCCAATGGTATCACAAAAATCAGTAAATAACTCTGTGTGTGTGTGTGTGTGTGTGTGCACGCCCGCACACACACACACGCACATGCAGCATGATATAATAAAAATCAGTAAGAAAACTAGGATGAAGGAGAACAGAAGATGACATTTGAGACATGATCAGGATTTAAATTGAATGGCCTAAGGAGGGGTCAAGAAATGATTTCATAAATAGCAAACATATGAATTATCAAATCAATATCAAAACATATCCATCTAAAACAGGTAGAAGAGTGCTCACTTCGGCAGCACGTATCATACCACAGGTAAAAGATACAAAGTTGTCGTTTTTGAGTTTAAGTGAGTGACGAATTCGAAAATGCTGCTGGAAGGAAAAACTATTTATTTGGGCTTGGGGAGGTGTTAGGACTGGGACTGTGAAATGTGGTGACCGAGGCCCATCTGAAGAGTTCACTGATTCTTTTATTTATTCGATCATTCAAAGAATATTTATCATGCATCTGACATATGCCAGGCAATGTTCTAAGCAGAGGAGCATGTAAACCTCCCTGCCCTGGTGAAATGTAATTATGCAGAAATAGGGAATAAATAATTAAAAATCAAAACCTGTGTAAGAAAATAGTAAATGCCTTGGAGTGGCGGCGAGTTGAAGGGTACCAGCAGTGGGACGTGAGCTCTCCGGGTCTCACTCCTTGCCGCACATTTGAATCCCTGGGAAACTCCAGGAAAATAGCCAGCGGAGGGCCTTATGCATAGAGATCCTGATTCACTTGTGAGGAGTGATATTACGAGAGTGATGGTTTAGCCCTTTAATGCTGGCTTAATTGTAAAGAAAGATAAAGGAAAACTATAAAAACTAAGACCTAGAAAGAATGTTCTCAGTTAGGAGGTACCAGCAATTCCTCTCAATAGAGCACTTGCTGACTAAGGGGAAAAAAAAAAAAGCTACCTGTGAAGTATGAGTCCTAGGAGAAGGCCAGAGCCGGACAGGGCTCATTCTGCTTTGGGATTTCTGGGGTCTCTGAAATCTAGTGTGGTAGACATATTTTTTGTGTCATTCCTTCCCTTGAGTGTGGGCTGGACCTAGTGACTTGCTCCTATCATACAGACACAGTCAATGTGACAGGATGTCCCTTGCATGATTAGATGACACCAGATCGTGATTTCCAGCTTACCCAAACATGTGCACTGTTGCTCTCTCAGCTTTCATGCTTTGAGAAAACGAGCCATCACATTGGTAAGATCCATGTGGCAAGGACCCACTGACGGACTCCAGCCGTCAGCCAGCCAGCACCTGAGGCCCTCAGTTTCACAGCCTTTGAGGAACTAAATCCTGCAACACACATGTGAATTTAGGAATGAGTGGATCCTTCCCTGGTTGAGCTTCGAGGTGACTCCAGTCCAGCCAATACTTTGGATGCAGATCACAAAGGACCCCGAAGCAGAAGACCCAGCCACGCTGACCCTAGAGACTCACCGCAGTTGTAAGACGAAGTGTATCTTGTATAGGTGCCAATCTTGTGGCAGTCTATACAACAGATAATCCATAAACTCGGGAAGGCCCGATGGCCCCGAGATCCCGTGGAGGGGAGGGAATGCCATTGAGAAGGTAAAAATACAAAAGACTGTAAGATTTCCAGATCTGACTTCATGCTAATTATTACACCATGGAGCCCTTATAGAAGAGTGTCTATTGGACATGTGGAAGCTGGATCTGTATTTGACCTCTGAACAAAGTCCTGGTCAACAGAATCAATCTAAAGAGCATTAGTAGACACTTTCTCTTTGTTAATAAAGGATGTGGTAGGCTGAATACTGGCTTCTGACATAGACCCACATCCTAATCTGCAGAACCTATGAACACGTTACCACCGTGCCTGGTAAAAGAGACTTTATCGATGCGATTCAATTGAGGATTTGGAAATGAAGAGATTAACCTGGATTTTCCAAGGGCACCCAAAAGAAGGTCAGAGTCAATAGTAGGAACTGTGACTATAGAGGCAGGACATGATTCGGGGAAGAGACCACTAGGAGCTGAAAATGGCAAGGAAATAAGATTCTTCCCTGAAGTCTCCAGGAAACCTGCTGACCCCTTCTTTTTAGGCTGCGGAGCTCCAGGGCTGTAAGAAAGGTAATGCATGTCATATTAAGCCAGAAATACGGGGTAATTTGCTACAGCAGCGATGGGGAACTAATACAGAGGTTCTAAAACATTACCATGACTGGGGCTTCATAGGCGTGAGGAAGTTTGCAGGGCTTTTTCCGGAACAATGTTCAGAGACCAGAGGAGTTTATGGAGCCTCTTCTCTTACTGTCACTGAGATCACTGGAAGATGTACTTGAACTAAGGAGAGGAGAGTCAACAGAAGGATCCAATGTCTAGAGGGTTAAACATCACACCATGGGATCCTGCGTAACAAACCTTCAAGGGAAGACACGTATACTATTGAATCCAGTCAGTTGATCTTCAAGATGTTTGGGCATAAACTCAATCTAGGGAACATTAAGAGCGAGCCTCTTGTATAGAAACAATGGAAACTGATGGCTAGGGTCTCACTTCACGACTGGGACATTTCCAAGTTCAGAGTTAGCCTACAGAACATTTGTGTGAACTCCAGGGGAGAAAGGAGCGACAGGTGCGGCCTGAGACCTATGAACTCTTAATTCCCCGAATACATAATTAACTTACAGGGGTCTGACTTCAGGCACCAGGCAAAGCAAAAACAGGCATCAAGAGGAGAGATTCTAGGAAGACATGAGGCTAATGGAGAGAGGACAGTTTTCAGTCACCAGAGGAAAGAGCAAGGAGTGGATGTTGATGGGGGGGGGGGGGCGATGTGAGAGTCTAAGGGGGCATCTATTCATAGCAGAGTGTACCCTTGGTTTGGGAAAACACAAGGGCAAGGTGTCCAAAGCTGCAACCAGTCCATTGAGAGCTGAAGTCCAAGTACTACCCATTACATCATGAGGCCCTTGAAGCTGGGCCTCCAATGAAAGACTGATGTGTACTCCTAACAGGTCAGTGTATCTTCAAAATAATGTAGGCAGCACATTAGCCCAGGGCATGGCATGGAGCCTCTAATGAGCGCGGACCGGGGAGGCTCTAACATGCACCTACAGCGAGACCCCCGTGCAGGAGGAGCTTTCTCAGGACGGAGTTAGTGATTAGAAGCTGATGGAACACTTCAAGTAGGCTCCATGACGGGAGGGACCTGGGAAGGGGACTGTAAAACATAAACTCCTAGTCACCAGGGCCAGGATTCTACCTTACCAGGATCTGAGGAACTCAGGGCAGAAAGGCAAAAAGGGACATCAAGTGTGAGGGGGAGGAAGTAGGTACTCAGAGGTAAGCAGTCAGAGACAATTCTCTCTTGGCCAGGGACCCTGTGTTGATTTGGCTGTTGATCCGGAAGTAATTGGAGAGCCTGCTGCCAGATGTATTCGCCTCCAAGGTGAGCAAATGAGTTAGGAGAACCACAGAGGAAAAATCACCACAATGGTGCAGCGGTCCCAAAGAGATCTGGACTCAAACTGCTGGACTTAGAGTCTACAGTGCTAACCTCAGGGTCCTTCCATGAGGCGCTTTCTACTACAGTGGTTATGTATGTACGTGTGTGGGGCCCGTGCACTGCGACGAGCTTCAGACAAGAGGGAGTGGCATCTGATACATGAACCGTTAGGGCCTGAAGACTAAAGAGGATCAGGCTGACATCAGGAACCCAGGAAGACCAAAGAGTTTCCCAGAAGGACACAAAGCTGTTATAAATAGGTTATTTCTCATGAGTCTGAGAAGAGAGTAAGGAATTACATGATACTCTTCTGGAGAAGAAAGCCCAAGTGTAAAATTCATGCCCACACAGCAGGATGCACTAGCAATTTGAAATGTGGGGACAGGTGACCAAAACCAGAGCAGGTCCCACTGAGATTTGAACTCAGATCGCTGGATTCAAAGTCCAGAGTGCTAACCATTACACCATGGGGCCATTACACATATGTCCTTAATGGAAAATCTATGAATATTAAATATAGGATTATATAGGAGTATGGTTTTTATTTTTTAAATATCAATAGGAAACCGCTATATCCCAGACAGCAGATGCTCTGAAACAAACACAACAACAGGGCTCACACGCATTCCAACATAAGGCCAAGTTCATGTTAGAACCTGCTAGAACCCAAACCCAGAAGTGAGGTCTGGGGTGTGAAACAGAAGTACTTAGGGGATCCAGATGATAACCTGATTTTCCAATGCCGGGGGTGGGGGTGGGCAGACGAGGACATAGAATTCCAGAAAAGCACACAAGCCACACAGTTCTGCAGGACAGTGTCACCCTGCTGTCTAGGATGCGGTGCTGAGGTGCACAAGTGTCTCTGGCCCAACGCAGGTGCAGGGTTGATTTTAGAGAAGAGAAGATACTAAAATGCTGACAGGTCCCACCGAGATTTGAACTCGGATCGCTGGATTCAAAGTCCAGAGTGCTAACCATTACACCATGGGGCCAACAATGGCTGGGTTCTCTGGCAAGTTTTTGGAAGCTCTTTGCAGCGTGTTGCACGCGTGTGGTTGGATCTCTGTCTTGAACAGGTGCGGAAGGTCCACGTTCCCTGGATCCCAGGAGGCAACAGACTTGCTCGGTCAGGGGGAAAGCCCAACAGAGCTCGTCTTTGCTTGGAATTTTCTCCAGGTTCATGGAGGGCTTGAGTACCTGTGTTCCTAGAAAAATCAAAACTGTGCATTTGATTTCCTGAATCAAATTCCTAATTTGGACAATGAACATTTGTCTGCCTGTGGGTTTATAGGGGAAAGTGTCAACACTTAAAATATCTCTTAGGGAATGTATGAATTCAGAAAACGCAAAAAGAAAAAAGTCAAATGTAACATGGGGATTTACTAGTAATTACAAGGATTAAGAACTTTTACATTTCTAAGTATTTTTACGTTCTTCTTTTCATTTATCTGCATTCTGTAGTGGATCGATTGCAAGTGTAACAAAAGATAAATGTTTGTTATACTTACTCTTATTTATGTTGCATATACAGTATTGTGTATCTGGTAGTTTTATCAAGCACAACAGTTCTTTTTTTCTTAATAATATTTAGCCAGTGTCTGAAAACAGTTTTGAAAATTCTCTATCCTGTACTTCCTCTCTGCAATTCTGGCTTCCTAAGTGGCATGATAAGAGGGCTTCAGAAGGAGGAAAGGTTGGAGATTTCCTGTTTGAGACACTGATTGCAAAGCAACAAATGTGCCCACAAGTATAAGAGTGATGATGCATTGGATGTGCCCAAATTCCAGGGTTCAGTTTCAGAAGTCAGACCCGAGCTGGATTCTGGATAGGGAAACAGCAATTTAAAAAAAAAAAAAAAAAAAAAAAAAAAGATTTAAAGCCTGGGCATGTTTTAGCATCTTTATAGAGGTTTCAGAAATCCCTAATGTTTTCCCAAAATCATTTTCAAAAATTTTCTTCATCCACTGTTATACTAAAAGACAACTACCTGCTTACAGCTTCAAGGACAGATATATTAATATCCGGGAAAATGGTGTATTTCGTGCTATGTTGTGTGTTTTGCAGTCTCCAAAGTTGGTCCAGCAGGGGTAACACCTGGAAGAAAAACGCTACTCCGTAGTCGGCAGGATTCGAACCTGCGCGGGGAGACCCCAATGGATTTCAAGTCCATCGCCTTAACCACTCGGCCACGACTACGCGACTGCTACCCAGCTGTCTGGATATATTCCCATGAGGAATAATATCTTTCCTGTCCATACATCGGCTTGCTTGTTGGTCTAACAACTCTGGACCGCCTGTCATCATACTTAAAAGAACAAGATTTTGAATATCGAGACGTTGGTAACAGACGTTATTACAAATTCTAACGCTTGCCTGACGTGCGAAATACCGAAGCCCCTGCGGGGATCGCCCGCGTTCAATCCAACAGGTGCGACGGTACCCAACTCAGAGACTGAATTACAAGGGACGAACCGGACCAGACAGGAAGCAGGTGTTTGTACCACATTCCCTTGGGAATTCTTACACATCCGGATCTGGTCCCCAGGCTCCTCTGATAGTGATCAGTTCTATTCACTTCCTTTTTCTAAAATTTGGGCTGGAGCCAAGGAAGGCTGCTGAACAGATAGCAGAGGATGGTTTCGATCCATCGACCTCTGGGTTATGGGCCCAGCACGCTTCCGCTGCGCCACTCTGCTAGCCGCACCCAAGGTGGTTTTTCAAATTTAAATTTCAACGCAATGAATTCTGGAGCCTTCTTTACGAGATGTCTGGCTATTTTTCAGCGATTGCCTCTAAGGCTGAGAAAGGATACCTTCGGTTCTCTGCACCACCACGCTCGACCCTCAGATACCAGCGGTTTACAATTCGCGCCCGAATTCGGTTGAGGTCAGAGTGTACGTAGCTCCAGCAGGATGACGTGTCAGGTCATGGAGGAACCAAATGCACGCCAACTGGCATCGTTTATAAGGTGAAATTGCAAAAGGAGGGTTTACTTCGAAGTAGTTTTGGCTTGTAATTTTTCAGTGAAAATATTTTCACCGGCGCCGTGGGCAAAACGTAAATTGCATTGGCCGGGAATCGAACCCGGGCCTCCCGCGTGGCAGGCGAGAATTCTACCACTGAACCACCAATGCTTCTCAGTTCATGATTTCTGTATTTATCCTTATAACGACAGTTATACTGTCTGCGGATTGGTAGTGCAACGAGATTGTGCGCTGTTTCCTTAGGATTTTTCTAAACTTAATTGCCGGAGACCGAAACCGCACAGGTCATCCCTGATGGCAAGGCCCAGGGAAGAGACTGCAATGCAGTCGGAAGAACCCCCGGAAGAATTCTTCTTCTCTACTTTGTCTGTACCTTTTACTCTCACTTCTGCTGTTAGTCTATTCTAGGGTTAATATGAAACCAGAATCGCCTAAAGTTCCCCCTTCCTCCAAAATGGAATGTACCTAACTATCATGTCCGTCCCCTCAATCAGATGTTGTCTAATAAATATTGTAGCAATTAGCAAAATTGGAGACAGTCCGCTATGCATGGGGCCTATGAGAGACCTAGAATTCATTTTCCTTGTATGAGTCTAATTGCCAGTAAGAATACATATTATGCCATAAGCAGAGACAAAAACAAGACTTACTAGTTGTGGAGGGCTTTCTCGAAAAGGTGTTAGAGAAATATTTGCCTGCTGACCTCAAGCCTGTAAGGCAACTTATGGATTGTTCTGGTCAAAGAATGAGATTGGTAAATGCAGAGACCAAATTCTAGTTGAGCCACGTAAAACATTTCCATACGTCATCTATGGTAAATGTTGATATTGTTCTTTCTTAGTAAGGGGTTGTGAGAGTCTGTTACCTACAACTGCGGGTACAAGTATATCCTGTTTTTGCTTGCCCACTGAATTTAAACAATTAAAGGGCACTGTGATCTCATGTATTCTGGCAATAGGCTTCACTTATCCTTAGATACCCTGTCATACGTAGTAAAGAATATGTAAAACTTTGCTATGACTACCTGGTTAAATTTTATTGGTTGAAGTGGAAATTACGTACCGTGAAATCACTGTTGCCAAGAAAACTTAGAAATGTTAAGTCCTATGACTGTACTTAAAAAATGTAAATTGTTTAAGCATGATTGATTGAATTTGCTACATAAAAACCCTAAGCTGAAAAATAAATTTGAGCAGTCCACCTGAAGAGGCTGCTCCGTGTCTTCTTTCGCCGACGCCAACCATCACTCTCCGGGCCAACCCTGGCTTGCAGAGGCTGGTCCCCTGCACGTAATCAAACAAAAAACTATACCTAAGCATGCTGAGAAAACCTGTGACCTAGAAGAAGTGAAACTGCTAACATGCAACCCTTGGAGGCTTTTGAAGGTGTAAAACAAGCATAAATAACCCAACATATAAGAGTGTCTGTCTCCATTTAAATTGTTAATGAAAACAAGTTCCAAAAAAATCTCTCGTTTAGAATGCAAGCGAAGTTGGCTAATTACTGGGTGAGAGTGCTCAATTCAAGTTTGAAACAAGTTACCGCACTTTGGAAAAAAGACCTATGGTCATTCTGCTGTGAAGACCTACGTTTGTATAAGGAGGGTGCCATTAGGGGCGAGAAGAGTAAAGAAAATGCTGAAAGTAGGAATTCTCCCCAGTCCTATTCCCCATCGCTTCCCCTTGGGAGGGTGACCAACGGCTGCCGAGGTCGGTGCGTTGCTTGAGAACCAAAAGCCAAAGGGGAACCTGGAAATAAATAGAAGTTACACCCCTTGCTTTTCAAGACTTGTCACTAGTTTGGAGAAAAAGCCAACACAAAGAACACCACTGATGATCAGTGAAAGTTATCTTTACCAAAGTGAGTCTTGAGTTTGGTTTTCAGGGAGGTATGGGCTCTGATAGTCTGGATTATACAAAGCATGTGAAAGCCAGTTTCACATGGGTCTCCTTCTGGTCTCTAACCTTTTTACACCTCTACTTCAGAATAGAGAGCTTACAGTATTTACTTGAGAGCTCTGGTTCGGACTCTTTGAAGGGGAGGGATGGCAGGAAGCTCCAACATCACATTGATCTTAAAGAAAGAATTTGGGCCATGAAATAGGTTTCTCCAAATCCTAGCAACAGAAGGAAACAGAACTGGACAGCATGAGACATAAAAATCAACTCGATCTAGTTACGTAATGGCTTCATTCTTGTTTACTCCTGTGTAAACGGTGCCTACATTCCTCCAGGGGCGTTAAAAGTCAATTCAAAGGATGTCCATTAAAGCCACTTGAAAACCAGTATAAAACCACCCATGAAATATTAGCTACTGATTTTTATGTCATGTAGCTTTTTAATGAACCTCCGAACGTCAGAAATGCTATCGTATTTCTATTGTAAACAGATAGCTTCAGTATAACACACGTAACTGGTGTTCGTGTAAGTGGGACTGTGTCAGAGCAGGCTTCAGGCTCTAACAGGACTCCTGGAGGCCAGCATGGAGGAGGCCGTGCCCAGCCAGGAGTGCCGACACATTAGGTAGCTTGATCCAGTTGATTCTATGTCTCATACTGTCCAGTTTTGTTTTCTTCTGTTGCTGGGATTTGGAGAAGGCCAGAGGCCTGTCCGGCCGCGCTCGGCGAGAAGTCCCATCACACGGGACAGTCCCAGGCGGTGGCGCCAGGACAGGAAACCCCTGGGCAGGTGAGGAAGAAAAAGCCAAAGCCTGCTTCCCACTCCTAAGTAATAAACATTTGGCCCCCTAGTTAATAACTATCAATTCAAAAAGATAGACACAACCCGCCTCCGGCACCTCCAGCGAAAACCTCCCTGCTCGCCCTCGAGTGCTCTCCCTCCTCCCTCCCCTCCCCCTCCCCCTCTCCCCCTTCCCCTCCCCGTCCTCCTCTCCCCCTCCCCCCTCCACCCGAGTTTCTCCTGCTCTCACGTCTCCACAGTGTACTTTCCGCTTTGATACACCTCCCGCTTGTGTGGCTCGTCGGCTGGGCTACGTGTCTGTCCTTGAACTCACAGTGCTGACCAGACCGAGGCCTTTGCAGCTGGCTGAGGCCAGGGCCCTGCTCACCTGGCAGTACAGCCACGCAGTAAACACGGGAGAACATTCCTTTCAGACAAGGCCCCGTCCTGGGAAGGAGCAGCGTGTATGTGCGGCCTGTGCGACAGGCGGTGCGGCGATCAGGACAAGGTTTGTGTACAGACGTGGACAGTAAGGACCCCAATTTCCCTGAACAAGAGGAGATCTGGGAAGAGGAGTTTCGAGATTCATGTCCACATCCGGGGCGAGAGATGTTGATGGAAGACGTTGCTAAGGAGAAGTCGACGGGGCTGTGGAGCTTTAGGAAATCAAACAGCAGGACTCGTTGCTCACACCGGGGACTGAGGAAGAGGTCGAGTCCAGAAGGCTCTAGACTCCTGGCTGGGCCGGGGCGGGGGCGGGGGCAGGGCGGGACTGAAATGGGAAGGATGCACACACTGTTGGAGGCAGATGGGCGAAGGAACAGTCCAGAAAGCAAGCAGAGCAGAGAGAGGGAAACAGAAGAGTGTGCGTTCCCTGATGTGGTGAACGCCCGAGAAGAGAGTGTTTAAATTAAACCTTTCTTTAAAGAAGGTTGCAAGGGACGCGCCGCGCATCCGGGGAGCCCTTGCCGCAGTCAGAATTCCAGCGGCGGCTCAGGGACAGAAGCCGAATAGAACGCATCCCACAAAGCTCTGGGAAGAGCAGATATTCTGTCCTTTCTGTCATGTTAAAAACAGGACCACGGGCCCAAGGTGGAGTCACCTGCGCTGAGCCCCGACCTCCACACGGAGATTTGGGCTTCCCAGCTACAGCGTGGGCACCTCCCAGAGATGGAAGCTTCAGCCCGTCCAGGAGAAATCACTGGGTCAGCACTAGGGAGGCGATAGATGCCTGTCGTCCCGTAAAGGAACGTGACTTTGCCTGAACCAACCTGTGTTTTGCTAGTATAACCTCCTCGCTCCCAGTCCCTTCTGCCTGTAAAAGTCTCATCCTCTACGACTCCCTGGGGCTCCTTTCTATCTGCTAGATGGGATACTGCCCAGGGCATGAGCGCCTGAATAGTCGGTAAGAGCTTTACTATGTGCTCAGTAAATTTTTTTTTAACAGTCACAACTCCTTGGAAGCCTCTCAAAGTCAACCACTAGGTACACCTTGGAGGGAAATCGCCTTGCTTTTCAATTTACCCTAAAAAAAAAGCTACCGTCGTTGACCCCGACGTGATTTGAACACGCAACCTTCTGATCTGGAGTCAGACGCGCTACCGTTGCGCCACGAGGCCACAGGAGGAAAGCCCTTCATCTTCTAAATTAGGATTTAAATAATCCTTTCTCCTCTCCTGCAGATCCTAACGATTTTCTTCTTTTTATCAGTGCGTTTGATCCATTCTCTCCCCACTATCCACAGCTTCGCTAATGCCTTGCTAAGAAAGTAAAGGAATCAACCAGATTAAATATTAATGCAAAAGCCAAAATGCTCCCTTCTGAGGAAAACTCAGTGCTTTCTCAGGCTCAGTCTTCCCACTCTTCAAAATTCCCCTGTTTTGAGAAAACTCCTGTGCTTATTAGGTTTAGATCCACAGTGAAACAGGAATAATAATGGCAGCAAATTTTGCACTACTGTTTTACCGATAATTCACGAGACTTCTCCCTCTTCTGAAGCAGACTCGTGGCCTCACGCCGCCGCAGTGCCTGCCCTGGCCGGGCCCACCTCCCTTCCCTTCTCAGCCCCCCAACCCGCTGAGGAGCTGCATGGTCTCAAGAGCCCAGTGTAAATGACATCCCTTCCCGAAATTCTCTGGGCTCCTCTCAGTGCGAGTGTGCGGCCTTCCGGTCTATATAGGTCGTACATGAACACAACTCAAATCAAGTGGCTGTTGCGTGAGCTCTTCCCACTTTCTAGTGGCCTGCGCTTGATCTTCCTCTGGTGAGTCGCAACACGTGGTCCCCTGAACCAGAGCCTCAGTTTCAGCTGCGAACTTGCTAGAAATGCTCATCTTTGTCCACACCCCAGAACTCCTGAATAGGAGCCTCTGGGGGTGGGCCCCTGCCGCCTGTGTGTGTCAACAAGTTGTCCAGGCCATGGGGGGGTGGGGAGGGGGGAGGGGGAGTTTGAGAATCCCTGCTCCAGCGAGAGATCACAGACTTTCCTCTCTCAAGAAAAGACTCTCCCCGTCCCCTTCCAGGATGGAGGATGGGTCAGCGGGGGCTGCCACAGCCAAGTGCGCAGACTGAGGGCTTTGAGCGACGGATTTCTTTTCTCACAGTTCTAGAAGCCAGAAGCCAAAGGTCGACCCTGTCAGCAGGCTTCTCCATCGATGGCTGTCTTCCCCCAGGCATCTTCAACTTGGTCTTTCCTCTGTGTTTGTGTCCTAATCTCTTTTTAGAAGGCCATCAGTCACCTGGGATCTGGGCCCACCCAGCTGACAACCCCCCCCCCCCCGGCTTTATCTAGGTCTTTGGAAGCCCTACTTCCGGATACAGTCATATCCTGAGGGACTGGGGGTTAGGCCTTCAGTATTGTGAAGGGGGCCGGCGGGACGCACACGGCTCTGCCCCTGACATGGAAGTTTCTACATGAAGCCCCTGCTGACAATTCCTGAGCGCGGCACTGGGGTGCGAGGATGGAGGGCCTGGGGCAAATCCGACCGCCTCTTTGCTCTTCCCACACTGTTTGCTTAGGCCCCCGCTTTCCTGAGTCTCACAACCTCCAGATTGTAAGGCGTTGCTGCGTCATCTCCTGTCCCCAACTTGTCACAACCACTGGATGCAACTTCCGTTTCGGAGCTGTTTTGACACGGGTTTCTGCAGCGCGCGCAGGTGCATTCGTGTGTTCCTCGCACCGTGTCTCCCTGCCGCGGTGGCCCCAGGGCGCAGGGACCGGGGCTCAACGCCCCTCGTGGCTGTGGCCTCCGCTCCCACGTGCCGTCCAAAGGCGTCTCTTGGTTCTTGTGGCTTCAGAGCCCGTCCTGCGCGGTTATCCTGCCCCTGACCTTACAGTATTTCTGACCGTTGCACCCAACTTGTTTCCTCAACTAAACTAGAATTCTTTTTCGTCCTCAAGATTGTATTTAAATCCCAGTTAGTTGACAGACAGTGTAATATTGGTTTCAGGTGTAGAATTCGGGGATTCATCACTTACACACACCACCCAGTGCTCAGCGCAACAAGTGTGCTCCGTGTACCCATCACCGAGGGCCCCCCCCCCCCCCCGCGGTGATTCCCTGCAGTCAGGAGTCTACACTGTCAAGGCGTCGGAGGCCTTGGAAATGCCTTGGTTTGCAAGACCGGTATCACTAGGCTGCAGTTACAGCGCCAGGATCATTTTCCTTCATCAAGTGTCGCCCACACAACCCCTCACCTCGCCGGAGGACCACGTGGCCTAATGGATAAGGCGTCTGACTTCGGATCAGAAGATTGAGGGTTCGAATCCCTTCGTGGTTGCTGCGGGGCTCACTTATTACACTCCAGGCCCTTCCTGCTCTTTGATGCTCCTGTTTTCTCGGTTCAAGTCGGTGAACAGAATCTTCTCACGCTGACCTAACAGTTTTACGCCCCTCCCCTAGGCCTCCTCCGTTTGCGACCTCGCCGCCCCCTCCCACCCCCCGCCCCCACTCCGAGGGACTGTCCCTCGACGTCGCACAGCCCCCTCTCCTGGTCCGCAGCTGCCCCCGGACCTTCCCGGCCAGCCCGGCGCCTCCCGGCGCTACCCCAGCCTACAGAATCGGGCGCTTCGGGGAGCCGGGGTTCCAGCCCGGCTGCAGGGGGCGCTGCCCGGGTCCCCGCGCCGCCGCGGCGCAGCACCCCAGGCCCGCCTCGCCTGCCGAGCGCCGGCCCACCGCGTCCCAATCCTGCTAACGCCGCGAAAGTGAAGCCGCCCTGGGAACCCCAGCAAAGACGGGGGGCGGGAGGAGGCAGGACAAAGGTCACGCTTGATGGTAGCCTCAGACAAATGTAGGAAAGGGGTAGAATTAGAAGGCCCCCCACCGTCCGCAATCCCCAGAGAAATAAGAGACTCAGAAAAGAGCATGAACGATGTTAAAACCCTAACACAGGGTTATCGGGAAACAGCACGTGGTGTTAAAGGACAACCCCCCCCCCCGAAGATTCCCTGCTAATTGCACAGGGGGAGAAGGAAGCTCTGTGGGGACGATTCTATCTTCACCGACAGTGGATGTCCTGACAAATGCCTCTGGATGGGAACTAAGTACTCTATCAACTAGACAGTGTCAAGCCTCACATTTTAACCTGAATCTAATCTAATCGAAACGGATCTAATCCATAATTTCAATTTAACTCCTGGTTTAAAGAGCATCGAGGAATAAATAAAAGTTGCCTTGGGAGACACGGAGACAGACTCAGAATGTGAGACTTTTACAAGATAATTGGCTTGGATTTTTTTATTTTTTAAGTCAATGTCAAAACAGTAACGGGAACGAGAAGCTGGGATACTGTTCTAAACTGAAAGGGACTAAGGAAACGTTGCAAATCGAAGGCAATGGATGAATGATCTTTGACTGGATCCTTGTTAGAAACACTGGCTCCTAAAGATATACTTAGAGAAACCCAAGTAAGGCCTAGATGTTAGATGTTTCTATAAAGAACCGCTGGGGTTGTCAGTTCTGATACTGAGGCTGTGGTTACCTAACACCTATGTGCACCTGATACTCGGGTACCTTGTAGGTGATACATCACGATGTCTGCAAAGGAATTTTATATGGCCCAGAAGAAAGAAGTAGATATGACTAATATGGCAAAATGTTAACAATTGTTGGATCTGGATGTTGGACCTACAGATAATTCCTTACTCTTTCAACTTTTTTTTAAGTTTGAATATTTTTATGGTAAAAGTTCCAATTAAAAAAAAAAAAAAAAAGTCTGGCAGGAGCTGCCCTGTGTAAACAGAGGCCAAAGAGCAAAAAAGGCACAGGGATCCGAGGAAATATGCCGGAGCGTCAGCATGAAGAAACCCGCACCTTGTGAGGAAGGCAGCCCACCTCCTTCAGGAGTCCCCAGGCCCTTTGGACGGAGTGGCCGAAAGGAAGCTGAGAAGTTAGAGAGCTCCCATGACGAGCGCCTCTCCTGCAATTTGTGACCTTCCTTATAGGCCACAGAGTACCTTTTGAGAATTCAAAGGAAGGAAGGGACACAATCAGATTTGCAGGCTCAGGTGAACATATCAGTTGGTGGTGACACAGCCCTACCTACAACATCTCTGGTGTCCTCTCTCACCGCTGTCCCTCCCTGGACACCTCCAAAATAGAATGTTCCAGCAAGACAGAACAGTGTTCAGTTTCTCTCCTATTCTGTGTGGTTTAGGTCTTTCCAGTTGGGCCAGCATCCTTCAGATCTGAGCTTGAATATGACTCATCCCACATATATTCATAGAGCATCCATCTACCCATTCGGAGGCAGCAAAGGTAGAACCGGAAACTGGCTTCACGCAACTCGGAGCCTAACGACTTACTCTCCAGGCAACCACCCAGGATGACCATGTCTGGGGCCTGGCACTACCTCAATAGGCCACTTGGTGTCCTGGACCCCTCGCTTGGATACCCAATTGTAAACATTCACTTGTATAGTCATTTGCTCTAGAAAGTCCTCAAAGGAGTGGCGTATTTTCCTTCTCTCCACTGAGTGAGCAGCTCCTAGCAGGATGCATGACACAAGATTGTGCTCAGAACAATTTTGAAAGAATGAAGAAATGAACCCGTTCAGGGACAAGAGCCTGGAGGCCAAAGTACTTCTAAGAAGTTGTTGCAATAACTCCTATGAGAAACTCTAAGAAGCTGATCTAAGAAAATGGACCTGTGGCTCTGGAGTAAGAGCCAGATCTGAGAAAAAAATTAGGAGGCTGAACTGAAGGCTTGATAAGCTGTGGGCTATGGGGAGAGAGTCAGAGAAAGGAAGAAAATTAAGGTGAGTTCTCAGTCTTTGGTTTTGGCTCCTGATAAAATCTGAGTTGTTGAAGGAGGTTCAAGCTTGGGGAGAAAGGGTAGGTAGAGCATTCGTTTTGAGATGCTCTTGAGATGCCCATGCACTTGCAAAAAGAAATGACCAAGACAGCTATATAGTATGAAGTCCAGAAGAATGGCCTGGGCTGGAGATAATTTTCAGCACATGAGCAGTAGATTGCCAGTCATGTCTCATCCTTCTTCTGTTCACTGAATGGAGCTATCGATGAAGTACAGAATCTTGGATTTGCACACTAATACATCCACACTCCTACACATACAGGTAAGATTGTGATACTCATGGTTGTGTAGTTTCAGAAATGTGGAGATCCTGGGATCCGTGCTTGCTCTGAAGGTGATTTTTGCAGATTCTTTGTAACTATCATCTGCAGAGTATCAGATACAGCTGCTCTTCCCCTTGGGAGAGAAGGCCCCACACTGTGAAACAGACTTGACTTTCAGAAATATTTTCTACTTGCCTATTTCATTCCACAGTATGCATTCAGCTGCTTTAAAATACTTTGAGCTTTGCCAAGAAACAGGAGATAGGCTTCCCTATAGAACATTTTGATGGGTCCCCTTTCTTGAATTTAAAAATGATAGATACAATAGCAGCTGACAATTTATTGAGCCCTTACTGTATTCCAGCCACTGGATTAAGTGCGTGAAGACATAAGGTATCTGTGAGGACATCAATGTCAGATTATTCACTGAGAATAAATGTCCTACGGCGAAAATATGAGGGTTTTTAAAGTATCATTTGAAGGCGATTAGTTAAAGAAGATCATCGCAACAAATCGCTGATTTGGGTTCTAGAAAAGACCCAAAAAGGGTTCTCAGTTTGCCACGTGCTGGAATGCAGGTTGGGTGTCATTAGCAGGGATCATTTCTTTTGTTGTCTTGTGTTACTAAATCCTGAAGTAGCCTAGAATACATGATATATGGTACCATGGAGGAGGTGGGGATAAGAAGACTGTGCTGGCTGTAGTCGTGGCCGAGTGGTTAAGGCGATGGACTAGAAATCCATTGGGGTCTCCCCGCGCAGGTTCGAATCCTGCCGACTACGACGGGTGGATTTTATATATTTGCTCTTCTTCCAGTGCAGTGTACTCGATCTTCAGTCACAGCCTACTTTTAAAAACATTAAAACATTCGCTCAGATGTTTTCAAGTGACATCAAAATGGAAGAATTCTTACTGACCGCAAAGGAATCCTATTGTATGAGTGAACCCAAACAAAAGAACTAATTGAACTCTTTCGTTTGAATTCTTAAGTTTCGGGGTTGGAAATCCTGGTGATAGGGAAAATAAAGTTGGAAGGGAAGATTTTCACACATTCATATTTAGAGCAACCTAGTCATTCTACCGCTTCCTTTTTCTTGTAGTGTAAATAAGGTTAACGCCCGTGGGCCAGTGGCGCAATGGATAACGCGTCTGACTATGGATCAGAAGATTCCAGGTTCGACTCCTGGCTGGCTCGTTATTTTGGTTATCTACTTTGAGATTCATAATTCCCATCTTCTTTAAGCCACTTTATAAATTTATAATTTATAAAATTATAAATAATTTTAAGCCTTTTTAAAAATTTCTTTGTAATAAGATTTGACACAAAGTAACAAAAAAGTTAATAATATAGCCTCTAGCTGTAGTTCATACTTTTTTTTACATACGTAAATTTACCTTACATCACATCATTAAATTGTTTTCAAAATTGACTAGTCCTCACATTAGACGATAAAAACTGAATAGAAGGAAGACCTTTCAAATGCATCATTCTCTGAAAGTACAGATTGAGAGTTTTACAAAAAAGAATGTTTCTAAATACCAATTCTTTTCCTCTCTTTTTTTTTTCAAGATTTAATTTTTTACGAGTGGTTTTAGATTCACAGCAAAACTGAAGAAGTTACCTACACATGCTTCACAGTGCACAGCGTCCCCTGCTATCAACACGGGCTACCAGCAAGGTACATTTGTTACAATTGATGAAACTACTTTGACACATCGTAACCACCCCAAGTTCATTACAGTTCACCCTTGGTGTTATACATCCTATGAGTTTGGACAGATGTAGAATGACACGTATCCATCGTTACAGATTTGTGCAGGTATTTTTCACGGCCCCCCAAATCCTCTGCACTCTCTCTCTATCCATCCATCCTCCCACACACCAACCCCGGCATCTACTGTTCATTTAGTGTCTCCATAGTTTTGATTTCTCCATAACGACATATAGTTGGAATCATATCACATGTAGCTTTTCCTCTTGGTTTCTTTTACCTAGTAACATGCACTTAGGTTTTTCCCTGTCTTCTCGTTGCTTGGTATCTCATTTCTTTTGGTGCCTAATAATATTCCATTGTCTGCATGTACCACAATTTATTAATCCCATTCACCTACAGAGGGTATCTTGATGGCTTCCAAGTTTTGGCAATTATGAATAAGCTGCTATAAACATCTGTGTTTGTGTTTCTGTGTGGACATATATTTCAACTCCTTTGGGCAAATAACAAAGAGTGCATTTGCTGGATTGTACAGTAAGAGTATGTTTGGTTTTATAAGGAGCTACCAAACTGTCTTCCACGGTGGCTGTGCCATTTTGTACTCCCATCAGCAAGGAATGAGAGTTCCTGTTATCCCACGTCATTGCCAGCATTTGATGTCAGTGTTCTGGATTTTGGACATTTTAAGAGGTGATTTTTAATTTTTATTTCTCCCATGACATGATGTGGAGCACCTTTTCATAGGTTTTAAAAAATGGACCAATTACTTTAACAGACACCACCAAAGATATATAGATGGCAGGTAGGAATTTTCCTTAGGTCTTTGTTCCTATCCTCCTTTTTACATGCATAGAATCAAACATTTCACCAGATTTGTAACAAGAATTAAACATCTCTTCTTTCTCGCTTCCTGAGCTGAAAAATCACTTTGGGAGAAAAGGAACCAAGCCTAGCAGAGGATGGTTTCGATCCATCGACCTCTGGGTTATGGGCCCAGCACGCTTCCGCTGCGCCACTCTGCTCTGGGGACAGCTGTCCTCACAGTTAATCTTTAGCTTCTCTCTGGTTTGTCCACTTTCCCTGTAGATTCCTTTTAATCTGTGGAATTAAAAAAGGATTCTCTTTTTTCTCTTCAGAGTAGTAATTTGTCTTTTGTAGTCCGCTAGCCCTGAGTCTGAACTAACGCCTAAGAGAACTAACTTCCATTAAGAAGAAATGGAAAAGCCTCTCGTGGACATGCTTCTCCAGTGCACAAAGGCATAGCTCGATGTAACATCTGATATTGTGCACTGTGTGAGTGTGTACATTATATCTGTAACAGAATGTCTGCTGGTATCCCAGAGGTCGTGTCTTAAAGTTATTCTAAGTTGTACATGATAATAGACTCTGATAAAGGAAACGTGCGTCCCCTTTCTCCCATGCTGTGATGTGATGGTTCATAATCTGTCGGGGGACGGAAGTCTTGAGCCCCAGGCGAGAGTGAAACGCGCATTCCTGCACACATACTTTACATAGAGTTTTAGGGGATTCACAAAACTTCTAGCCCTGAAGACTCTCTCTGATTTAGTGGTTCATTCCCTCTCGACTCAATGTGACAAACAAAAAAGTTCAGGTTTTCTGCGTCTGGAAAGGAATTGGCCCTTTCTGTGATTTGCAGCAGCAGGGCATCGCAGAGAGCCAAGGACAGGCTTGGGATGTGACCTCTCTGGTCTGGAAAAGCTGACCCCTGTGTGGAGCAGGTGAGCTAAGGTCACCTTCTAGACCCAAACAAGCTGTCTGAGAAGACCTGCTCAGCTTCCGAAGGCCGGAGAGACGGGGATGAAGAGACGGGTCTGCCGGAGAGACGGGGATGAAGAGACGGGTCTGCCAGCGCAGAAGTGAGCGTGGAGAGAGGCCAGGGACGGCTGGGAATATTAATGGGCGAGTTGGTGAAAAGTGAAATTCAGAACGTTTGCAATATGTTTCTATGGGCCCCAAAATACAGTAATAATGTTGTATGTTCCTGTGTATGCCTGCCTTTCATTTTTAGCTTTTAAAGCTATTTTAATGCGGGCATCCAAGGTCGGAGAGAGCGGCGAAGTCACCGTTTCCTCCTACAGCTCACTTCACAGCCCAGAACCTCCCACAGCCGCTAAAACGACTGACCCCGACGTGATTTGAACACGCAACCTTCTGATCTGGAGTCAGACGCGCTACCGTTGCGCCACGAGGTCCCTGTGAGCCGCGTCCTTGCCGTCGATTTGTCGCACTCGGGGAAGACCACGCGGGGACCGCTGTCCCTCCCGTCACCCCCCGACTCTGCGTCCGGATCGCTTCTCCTTCCTGTTCTGTTTCACTCCTGGGTTTCTACGTCTTTATAAAAATAGGCGTTGGGGGGAGTTTTGTGGGTTTTGTCTTTTTAGAAATATGGCTATTGAAGGCCGGTCGCTCCGGACAGGAGGGAGGGGACAATGGTGTCCTCTCCGCGCCCCCCGCCCCCCGCCCCCACCCCCAAGTCAGAGGTGCCGCCAGGGCGGGTTTGGAATTTGTTTTCCGACTTGCTCGTAGGTTCTGGCGGGCGTTTCGGGGCAGGAGGCTGACGCGGGGTGCGGGGTGCGGGGTGCGCGCTGGGACCCGAGCCGCACCTGCCGCCCCCGCCCCCTGTTCTCCTGCGCTGCGGGGACACGCGATTGCTTTCCTGCCGCCCGGCTCCTTGGGGGTCAGTCACTGGGTCACCCACTGCAGCTGAAAAACAGCAAGGACTCCCTTCCTGGGTGCGCAAGTAGGTCGTTCTGGCGCCGGGGTGCGGCTGGTGAAGGCACCCGTCTCGGACCGGAGACCCCGCTTTTCCCTCTCAGGGAGCGTTTTCTGCAGGCCTGACTCCACGCAGACCACCTCCTCAGAGAGGGAGAGTGTCCCTGAACTCCTCCATTCGGGAAAATTATCCCCTGTTGTAACACAGACATACCCTTAGGGTTTTCCTTTCTTAATCTTGAAAAATGGGTCCAGAGCTCAGGGTTCGGGCTGGGAATTGTCAAGGACCATCGATACAGGATTGGAGGAGCGTGTATTTGACCTCGCAGGCAGTGGCGTGCCCTTGGTAGGTTATGTGCGGGTATAGTCACTCCGCGGGGTGGGGGACCAGATTAGGGACCCCGGTGAGGGATGTGCTGGGCTCGCCTCACTGCGAGGTGCGATCAGTCAAGCTTTCCGAAAATAAGCCTCCAAAGGTTTGGGAGAATCTGAGTTCACTTACAAAAAGGAACGGGTGCGCAGGCGCGCTGCTGACTGAAAGTTGAAATTTATACTTTCCTCTCCTACCTATAAAACGGGGATAAAATACATAAAAAAAAAATTAAAAAAAAAAACGGGGATAAAATAGTAGTGCCTACCTCCTAGGATTGTGTTGATAAAAGTATGTGCTCGAAACAAGTTTATATATTTATATATGTTTAGAATGACGCCTACCTGACACAGAGTAAGGTTAGTAAAGGTTCGTATAGGGAACACCGGCTGGCTCAGTGATGAGAACATGTGACTCTTGATCTAGGGCTTGTGAGTTTGAACGCCACGGTAGGTGGAGAGGATATTTTAAAAGTAGATACATTTTGCATAAGTACACACTACTGTGATTACTATCACCATGAAGTTTGCTGAAATTCTTAAAAGCATGTGCACACATCACCAGCCTGGTTTGGCGGAGACTGAGGTAAAATTCACACGTGTCAATTGCTACTTTCCTCCACAGATTTGGAGTTCGGGGTTATCACACAGAATTAAAGGCATTGGCTTATTTCAGGTGTTAGAAATAGTCCTCTTTTTTTTTTTTTTTTGAAATAAGTAAAATTGGGGAGGGAGGGTAAAAAAAGGTTAACATCTCAAATTACAGCAAAAATCAGACAGGGCTGCGGAGGTGAGTGTAAACGAATGTCAACCTAAACCAGTGCCTAAAATTTACTGATGTCGATTTCTTATTTATTTATTTATTTATTTATTTTTGGCAGCTGAAATTTAAAACTCGGTGAAACACTTCAGCTCATAGCAGTTTCCTTATTCATGTATTTCAGTTGGTGTTTAGTGATAACTCATAGCACAGCTGATTTGGGTCTGGTTGTTTATAATTGTTGCTACTGTTGGAAAAATTTGGGATCACATTTTGAAATTAAACTGCTATTCATTCTCACAGAACGAGCAGGTTCCCAGAGCACCAAGCTGCTTCTCTCCCTTGCCTTATTTTGCTGCCTGGACAACCTTTTCTTTCCCAAAGAGGGAGACCCACGATCCCAGGCCTCAGTAGCCCTGATTTTGCTAATTACCCTATTTCGATCTGAGGCTCAGGCAGGAGAGTTTTCAGGTCCTCTCGAAGTCGCGGTGTCAGCATCAAATCACCCTTATTGTCTAGTGTGATCCTAAAGCGTGGCCCTAATGGCTGCCTTTGTCTTTGTGTCCATGTTTTCTGTTTCTTCTTAGTACCTCGTCCAGACACTTGGACCTAATCCTGGAGATCTAAGGACATGGACTCTTGGAACAAACCATTTCGTTCTGGCCAGGCCCCTCCTACAGACTGTCTGCGGCCACCATCGCCTACCTGCTGACAGATCCCCACCCCCACCGTATCAGTAGCTTGTCTAGGTCTCCAAACAACTTTGTTCATGTCTCATGTCTCACTACTGAGACCCTCACACCCTCTTTAACCAGACACATTGCTGAAATCTTCGAGGAGCCGCCTCCTGACTGCTCACCTGGACATGCTCTGGGCCTGCCACCATCTCCTCACTCGGAGCTGTCTCCCCTGGCCGCTGGGTTCCTCCTGATTCCTGCAGTGGTCCCCACCCCAGGGCCGCCCTCCAGCCTCCCGTCCCCGCCCTGTAGGCCACATTTTGACTGCGTCTGCAGTGCCAACATAAATTTATGTTTAGGAGAAGAAACAGGGGCCCAGTGTAAGTAAAGTGTGTTTAAAACCTAAAGATCCACACTCATTATGGTGGTTATTACCAAAAAAGAAAAAGAAAAGGTGCTGGCAAGATATGGACAAATTGGAACTCTTACCCATTGCTGGTGCGAATGTAAAATGATACAACCCCGTGGAAAACAGTGTTGTGGCTCCTTGAAAAATGAAACCTAGAATTACAATATGACCCAGCGATTTCACTTCTAGGTATATCGTCAAAGGGGTTGAAAGTGGGAACTTGGGCAGCTGCAGTGCCTGTGATACTGTATCATCCTGTATGACTCCACTTACCCGAGGAATAGCCTCCAACAGTCAACTTCAGAGACAGAAAGTAGAATGGCGGTCACCAGGGGCTAACAGGGATGGGGTGGAGGCCTTACTCGATGGGGACAGACTTTCAGTTTAAGATGACGAAAAAGTTCTGGAGATGGATGTTGGCGGTGGTCTCACAACAATGTAATTGCACTAAATCCCACTGTTAAACTGTTAACAATGGCAGACTCTCCTTAGGCAAACTGAACAGAATGGATTCAAAGAGGGAGCCGAGAAAACAAAAGGCCAGACTTGCTGGGCTGGCAGCACCCAGGCGGCTGGTGACCCCCTCCAGCCCCTGAGGACGTCCTTTATTGCTTTACCACCAGAGCCTAGCTCCGGCCAGAGTCACTTTCCCAGAGAGCCGTAAACACACCCCAAGATATGTGCAGATACCTCCCGGCATGGGCCCACTGACGGCGTCCTAGGGGGCTCCTCACTGAGGCTCTACTTGGTGGGAGTAAATAACGTAGCTTAGCAGCGGCTCGCCCCTCAAGGTGCTTAGAGCTCTATTACCAAATTCCTTAGAGGCTTGTGCTGTCCTCACCCCCTCAGCCCCCAAACTGGGGGTGTTTAGCCAGTCACCACTCACAAACACAGGTGCAGCTCTTTCTGCCCACGGGTCCTGTCCCTGTGCTTTCATAAAGACACCTTTTTGCACCGAAAACATCTCAAGAATTCTTTCTTGACTGTTGGCTCCCCAGGCCCACATCATATCAAGAGTATACGGGTCAGATAGATGATAGATAGATAGATAGATAGATAGATAGATAGATAGATAGATAGATTCAAATATAAAAGGACAAAAAAGAGTATGCAGTGTGTATAAATTTGAGTATGCCCCAAATTATAATATAAAAGTTGTATCTTACTGTGCATCACAGTAAAAAAAAAAAAAAAAAGTGTGAGATTCTGTGAGATTCTGTGAGATCGAAGACATAGGAGCCAGGAGGCAGAACTGCAGCATGGGGGGACGGTCTGCAGGGTCCCCTCCAGGTGTGGGCCTGTCCGAGGCCCAGGGGACCCACAACCCCTCGCCAGGCAGCGCAGAAAAGGGTGGATCTGCGGAGCAACCAGGGCACAAGGCTGGGGAGGCAGAGGGCAGAGGGCAATCCTCACCGCACTGCAGGTCAGCACTCTTCTCTTCATCCCCCGAGTGAGATTCAATTCCCAGAACACAGGGAGCCCCCAGATTCAGTCCTGAGTGTGTGGCCCATAGTGGTCAAACCTATTCTCTTCTAATTCTATTACCGTGGTAGATCCCCTCCCTCAGGAGAGAGGAAAAAGGGAGAGAAAACTTCAAGGGAAACTGGCTGTGGGGTGCCTAGGTGACAACATCCCTCATGACCTTGTAAACTGGGGCTACTTAATCAGACTACATGTTTGTGTGTTACACACAAAGGGAGACAAAGAAATAAAAAATGAATTTAAAAAAAAGATGTCACGCGGCGGTGGGTACTCGAACCCAACTGAGGTGCAGCGGGAATAAAGTTGCTTCCTGGAAATTAAAAAGCCTCCGTGTCACCACTCTCTGTGCAAGAATCCTGCTACGTTATGACGTTCTTGCTGGCCAAACGCATGCCCTTCAGTCCTGGGGATCCCCTGGGGTTCAGGCAGGTCCACCTATGGGACCAGAGGTGATCTTGGTCAGAGGTGGTTTATTGCCCCACCCGCGAGTGCAGACACGCTGGGCAGCCACTAGGGGGCGGAGAAACCTGCAATTGAGCGTCTGGGACAAGGGGGGGGAAGAGGAAGGAGGAGGGGAAGGAGAAAGGGGGAGGGGGAGGGGAGGGGGAGGAGAAAGGGGGAGGGGGAGGGGAGGGGAAGGAGGGGGAGGGGAAGGAGGAGGGGGAGGGGAAGGAGGAGGGGGAGGGGAAGGAGGGGGGCCGAAAGGAATGACCGGAGGTGGAAAGAGCATGGGAAGGGGGAAAGCAAGTTATTGGAGGGAAATCATCGCTTTCTGGACAGCAGTCAGGATACTTCGGATCTATTAAGGAACAAAAATTCACCTAAGTAAATTTGAAGATGTAACTGGCTCCAGTAAGCGGTTCACCATCCCATCTAGCAAGTAGGGGAGGAGCTCTGAGAGGCCGCTTGAAACGGGAGGGAGGTGGGGCAAGGCGGTTAAATTCAAAAGAAAAGGAAAGATTGTTTCGGGCAAAGTCACCTTCCGTTTGGCGAGAAGGTGGAGGGTGGGGGTGGAGAGGCTGCGGTAGCAGAGTGCCCCATTGGTGCAGACTAGAAAATTCCTAACTGACCAGTTAGGACTGCCTGTCGGGGGGAGGTTGAAACTGCAGTTTTAGGTTAGGTGTAAAGCCCTGGCTTGGTGACTCAGCCTAAGGTCCATTGGGGCCTGTAGTTTCCTTGTTGACACATTTAACAATGTGCTATAGATACTGTTTCATTTTCTCCTAACACTTTTATTTTCAACCTGAAACATTGTGAGTTAAAACCAGAAAGCCTACTTTATCCATGACCAGATGCAGAGGAACATTTTCGGGGTGAGGATGTCAAGACTGCTAGACCTTTCCTGTATTTTACGGTTTTATTAAATCCATTTCTGTGGTTATTCTGGACAACGTGCCGAGGAGAAGAGCCTCCTGTCCGAACTCAGACACGAAGACAGGATAAAGCAGTGCTCAAACCTTTAGTGTGTCTGCGCTAGAGAGAGAGAGAGAGAGAGAATAAACAAGGACTGTGCAGAGCCTGGATGGCCTCCTAGACGTCACGGGGGGAGATTAAACCTGGAAGAGAGAAAAAGGCAGAGGAGGAGGGAGTGGCCAGGGAGGATTTTGAGCCCTCTCTTCAGCCCTAAAATGAGAACAGCAGCCCCACCTCACCAGGTTCTGGTGAGGAACAAATGGGTTAGTATAGGCCTTAGCAAGTGCTCCATGTGAACAATAAAAAGAGACAGAGACAGAGAGAGAGAGAGGGAGTTTATTACTGTAATCATGACATTTGGAACTATACTGTTTCAGAGATTGGATTAATTTTTTAGCTCCGCAGAGCAGAGCTACAAACAAAAGATGAAAGGAAGGTACAAGGATTTTGCACTGTCGGGGAAAAGCTTTCTCACAGTTAGCCTTGTTCCTTTCGTAAGGTAGTGAGCTGCCCATCTGGGGGGTGTTTAAGCAGAGATCTGGTGCCTGCCGGTGAAGGATGTACTTGAGAGGGTCTCTGCATTTTGTGGGCATCTCATGTGGCCAAGGCTTAAAATTCTTTTCAAATATGAAATTTTATGATTCAACTAAATTTACCCGGAGATTAATCTGACCTGTATTGAGTGATGCACACTGACTCAAGAAATCCTTTTTGAATTCTTCGGCTGGTCATTTTTGGAGATGAAGCATGCAGTTTTACAGTGTAGTGGAAATACGCCTGCTGTGTTACCTCATGGTCACAGCCAGCAGGTGGCATAATGCACTTCTGCATCACTTCCATAAAGTCAAATGTGCCTTCAAAATGTTTTCCTTTGTGTTATACTATCCACAACCTCAATGCTTGTCCACCGGTTTCTGTACCATGCAGATTCAGGACAGCATCACAGTGACAAGCAGACACTTCGGGCTGAGACATCTGGCTTTAGACTGAGACCCTCTTCCCCTGGCTGTGGCTAGAGCAGCTTATTCAGCGTCTCTGAGCTTCAGATGCCTCTTCAGTAGAACGAACTCACCCTGTACTATTTAAAAGTGGTGTTTTACTGGTCAGAGTGGTTAAAATGAACAACTCAGGAAACAACAGATGCTGGCGAGGATGTGGAGAAACGGGCACCCTCCTACACTGTTGGTGGGAATGTAAACTGGTGCAGCCCCTCTGGAAAACAGTGTGGAGGTTCCTCAAAAAATTAACCCTAGAACTCCCCTATGGCCCAGCAATAGCACTGCTAGGAATTGACCCAAGGGACACAGGAGTGCTGAGGCATAGGGGCACATGGACCCCAGTGTTCACAGCAGCACTCTCCACAATAGCCAAATCATGGAAAGAGCCTAAGTGCCCATCAACAGATGAATGGATCAAGAAGATGTGGGTTATCTATACCATGGAATACTACATGGCAATGAGAAAGAATGAAATCTGGCCACGTGTAGCAACATGGATGGACCTTGAGGGTGTTATGCTGAGCGAAATAAGTCAGGCAGAGAAGGACAGATACTATATGTTTGCACGTATAGGAGGATTAGGAGGAACTTAACGGAGAACCGTGGGGGAGAAGAAGGGGTGAAGTAGGGGGGGAGAGGGAGAGAGGCAAACCATGAGAGACTCTTGAATGATGAGAACAAACTGAGGACTGATGGGGGGTAGGGGAAGGGGGGTGATGGGCATGGAGGAGGGCACTTGTGGGGATGAGCACTGGGTGTTATATGGAAACCAACTCGGCAATAAACTATTTTCTAAAAAAAAACTACCCTAAACCCAGCAATTCCACTACTAGGTATTCATCCAAAGGATACAAGAGTGCTGATTCTTAGGGGCACATGCATCCCAATGTTTATAGCAGTGTTTTCAACAATAGCCAAATCATGGAAAGAGCCCAAATGTCCATCAACTGATGAATGGATAAAGATGTGATTTATATATACAAGGGAACACTACTTGGCAAAATGAAAGAATGAAATCCTGCCATTTGCAGCAACGTGGGTGGACCTAGATTACTACAGTAGTCGTAATTCTTAGTAGGCATGATAAAGGCATTGTGGTTATATAAGAAAAAAGTCCTTAACTATTAATGATTTATCCTTCTGGATAAAATC